CAATGGCAATCCTAATCCCAACTGCAGACATAACTTGAGGATTGCCCATATTGCCACTGCAAGCGATAGTAGTGACAAACTGTGGGACAGCCTGTTTGCAATGTTTCATCCAACGTTGTGATTCCAAAATTATGGACCTAATTCCAAAGCATAGATTTGCTAGATGTGACCATAGTCTTTAATCCACCAATACATACTTGTATACTGTGAATATTATTTGGAGAAATGTCTGCTTTCTTGTTTCTAGTAGGTTGAGAGAAGAAGTTCAAACATTTTCTCAAAAAGAAAAAATATGTATTGAGAAGCCTGGTTCTACTTGAAACCCATGAATAATTAACCCAGTTCCAGTTTTTACAGCCTGTCCTAATCTTTGATCTCCCTCTGGAGATTGTATAGTCTCCGGTGGTTACTGTGTGCAATATATGATGTAAGTATCCTTTTCTTTATAGGGTGAAGACAAAACTTTTCGGCGAACTCCTTCTTGGCGAAAACGCTTCCGCCCTCGAGACTTTCACAGTATCACCATGGTTAGTGGGTCAGCAGAAACTCTTCCAGCAGGTTTTCGAGTGACCTCTTTGGTGCCTCTGCCACCTCCTTCAGCACCACCGAAGAAAATGCCACCAGAAGGTAGGGTGAAACTCTACTATTATTCATGAGGCATGAATTACACCATTCTAAAAACTCAGATGATTCTCTGAATCCTGCATGGTGTGTATGGTGTATTTTCTGCTGACATGCAGCCCAGCGCTATGTTCTTTAAGCACCAGCCTAACTACTAAATGAACATTTGGCATTGAATTTTTACCCCCAAAACATTCAAGCCTTTATTTGAATTCCTGGAATCTCTTATTGATGTAGCAGAGGTTTGGCATTAACAAAAAGATAGAAGAATAATTAATGTTTGCTGAAAAACATATATCTGAATTCCATGCAGAGCATTTCCTTACTTGGGGTTAAGGAAAGAACAAATCATTTTATGAGGAGTTTCTAATACAAAAAAAATATTTACTGATTAGTTGCTAATATGTTCGCTGCCTTGGGTTGTTTGTAAAAATAATAACGGCGGGATACAAACAGACAAACAAAGACAACTTATATTTGTTGATTTGTTATTAACTTATCTGGAAGAAAGAAACTGAATTGTGCCTTTGAAATTAAAATATTGTATAAAAGTATTTGGATTCTAAAATAATTTAGAATTAACAGTTTCAATGAACACCAATTTCTATGATCATAAACTTTGAAATACATTTCACTACTTTTCAGGTTTATTAATAGCATTCCTTCACTGTTTTAAAAACTCTGTTACCATATCCTAAACCATGTGTTGGTGAGACCGGGATTATTTGTTTCATGGCATTTAAGTTCATTGGACAGTAATTTATTAAAATATAACCACTGAGAAATTCACCTAAATTCTGACATCCATAATAAGCCAAAATAGGCAGTCATCAACAGGCATGCAAAATTTAATAATGAGCTTTGCATGAGAGCTTATTGACCCCACTAATTGCATGCTTTTGTGTGCTGTGCTAAATGGTTTGCAGTTGGTGCACCTGGGTCCCAAAGGCTGGAAACATCCACAGTTCGGACATATTCCTGCTGAAATGCAATTTCCAGTGGGAATTGGCCAAGGCTCCAGGTAAGTTTAGAAACTAGGACAGAACAAGCACAGTCTTCACATTCCACAGAGGATCCGGAAAATAATGGATGAAACCAGAAATTACTTGAAGTATAGGTAGTCCTTGACTACAACTGTTCATTTAGTGACCGTTTGAAGTTACAACGGCACTGAAAAAAGTGACTTATTTATTGTTGCAGCATCCCCTGGTCACATGATCAAAATTCTTGATGCTTGGCAACTGATTTCATATTGATGATTGTTGCAGTGTGCTGGGTCTTCGCAACCTTCTGACAAGGAAAGTCAATAGGGAAGCCAGATTTACTTAAAAACCATGTTACTAACTTAACAATTGAAGTGATTCACTTAACAACTGTGCCAAGACAGGTTGTCAAATGGGACAGCATTTACTTAACAACTGTCCCACTTAGCAACAAAAATTTTGGGCTCAATTGTGATTGTAAGCCGAGGACTACCGCTACCAAATTCAGTTCTTTACCTTCATGTTGCTAAACTCAGATTTTTTTTACCTGTTACTGGGCATGGCTTAATCAACTTTATCTATTAATAATCTGTTTGGTCCATGTCTTCATGTTTAAGCAGGGCACAAAATAAAAAAAAAAAATATTTAAAAAATTAAATGTGTTCTCCCCACATTTAATTTTCAAGAAACAATATTAAGGAAAAAAGAAAGCACTTCTCCTCCAACCAAGAAATTTTGTTGTATGACATGAGCCAGAAAAGAATTGATGAAAATAATTGACTTTTTTAGTTCCAGCTTCATCCCTTAAATGGATAAAATAATGTTGGACAGCAAACAGTAGAAAGTATGGCTTAAAATGAGATTTGTTGGTTTTGATATGGATTCCTGCCCGGCTGTGAAGCGCTCTGAATGTTTTTGAACAAGTTGTTCTGAGCTTCTTGAAAGAAAAATAAAAGAAAGAAATTAAAAGAAAGAAAGAATAAAGAAATAAAATAAAGAAAATATGCTAATAGTATATGAGAGAATACTATATTTTAACTCAAATTACACAGGAAAGGATAGTTATCAAATGGCTCTAACAATATCAATAACAATAACAGTATCCTAGAGTGAAATGAAATCTTTTCAAAACATTTATTAAAAGGGAACTGTATTCAAAACCATTTTAATAATTATAACATTTGCACTAAAGATCTATTTTATGACATATCAATTACCACAGTAGAGCTTTTAGGCACCTTCTTCTACTCCAGATTATTGGGGATGTTTTCTCCACACAGCAGGATACTGATCAGCTTGGTTACATGCTATAAGAGATGCAAGTGCCTGAAATGTCCACAAAATCTTAGTGGGTTATAATAACAAAGAGGAGGGTTCATTAGGAATGTGCTGAATAGAGGCAGGGAAGGTCTCTGTGGAAGTGAAGATGACAGCTGTTGGATAAAGATAGCAAACTTTATCCCTTCCTCCCCAAGGCAACATCAACATTGATATTGATAACAGAGACAAAAACAGACATGTCCTTGTTTATTGGGGATTCTAGATGCATCACCCATTTATTTGCTTGTGCCTGCCATTTGTTCTGCGAGTTCTATGTTTAATCAGTAGAGAATCCATTCTGCCTCTTCAATAAAGGCCTAGTGATGTAATGTGCCAGCGCCACTGTTTTGAAAATTTCAAGTGAGGCAACCTTAATGGAATCATGTAACCTGGCAGAGGAAAGAGGCATCAACCACTCAAGAGATTCTCCCATATGTTTTCGGCAATGTGGGTCATTCACTTGAATTCATCCTTTGGAGATGCCTAGCCCTGTCACCCTTTACAGCTGGCCCTACTGAATAGTTATTGAAGGTGCCATGTGAGAACCAGAGGTGGTATTTAGCAGGTCCTGACCAGTTCTGGAGAGCCGGTAGTGGAAATTTTGAGTAGTTCGGAGAACTGGCAAATACCAGCTCTGACTGGAGATTTTACAGTATCCTTCCCCTGCCACGCCCATCAAGCCACACCCACAGAACTGGTAGTAAAAAAAATCGAATCCCACCACTGGTGAGAACATGAAGCTAAATAAGTTTTTCTTCAATATTCCTTTAAAATACTGTAGGTGAGCTCTTTCCAGGCAGGTGCCCTTTAAATGTATTAGGACTGAACCTGAAAGCCTGCAGTTTTAAAAATTGTGATCCTAATTCTACAAGAAAGTGCATAGACGCAGAAGATGAAATGATTTTGTCAACAAACAGTACATATTTCAGGACAACCTTGATTGCTGTTGTAAAGCAAAATTAGATTTCCAGTTGAGAATGAAAACAAATGCAGAACAAATTTCTCACAGTACAGTTTCCTTTCTTATTGAAGTCTAATTGTCCCATTTTTTCTGATCTTTTGCAGCACATTCCCACTATCTTTATGGTTATATGCTGGCTGCTTTCCGGGAGTAGGAGATTATGCCTGCTCCTTTAGCTCCAAAGAACAGAAGCTACTGGTCAATCGTTTTAGGCCTCATGGCCAGCAGAACTTTCTTTCTCTTGCTTGTATACAACCCTCTGATCTCCTGTTTGGTATCCTTAAATCCCAATTAAATATTTTCCCTCAGCTTTAAAGATACCCTCGTTTGAGAAAGAGAACAGGTTTCTCTGTCTCTAAGTCTGCACTATGTATGACACGATGATTTTGACATAGGTTTGGTAAGAAGTGGGTGCACCTTAATGCTGGTCTGCAGCAGTTCTTGCACCATTGTCTGCCTGTGCTACACTCTGCCATTATGCCTGAGGGCAGCCGAAGCTGCTTGTTCCTACTGTACAGTTTGGACCTAATCAGACAATCACCAAGAAACAAGGCAAATGAAGATGGGAAAGCCCAGCTCTGAACTCTTCCTCAGGTGCATTGGGCTTCTGCTGGACCTTCTCATCGCGCCACAAGACCATAGACAACATAGGTCCTCAGTTAAGAAATACCCAGGCTGGTGCTTGATGGAGAGAAGGGAGAGGTTGGTTACCAAGCAAGTTTTGTATGGGCTTTTCTTAGATCCCATGTTCATGTATAGAAGAAAATTAAACCCAATGCTGGGAAAGCAGAACATGTTCTTGGACATCTCTTTTGGCTATACCAGGAATACTCTTATCTTTTCCACATAGACAGACAGAAAAATTCCCTTTCCTTCTCTCTGCATCTACAGGTAGCCTGTGATCCCCACAAAATTTTAGCTGTTACTATTTCTCTCTCCTAGGGTAGGATCTGTTTGTCTCTTCATGATGCCTTTTGCCTTGTGTGCCCCCCTATTACTGATGTGGTATTTCTTGGTGGCTGGAATGCCATATATTCATACAGTGCTGTTTGAAAGTGCAATATCCAAGAGACTGTACAGTTGCAATGTCTTTTTTGGTGTACGACTTGCCTAATACAGTATTAAATATTTTTTTAATTTACAGAGTAAGTGACCCCTTTATATGAATAATCTCTTTCTTTTGTTATATTGGTACTGCATGGATTCCAAACCCTGCAAATAGGTCAGGAATGGGTGTATGTGTGTTCCAATAAATCTGATTTTAAAACAAGGCTGATTGATTCATACTTGTCTTCTACATGAATGCAGCGTCTCTCTTCAGAATCACATCACGAATGTAGTCAAACTGAAAGGTTTATCTCATTTACTTATTCCAGTTGGAAGATTTATTCTCACTCTCTCTCTCCCTCTCCCCCTCCCCCTCCCTCCCTCCATCTCTCTCTTGATTTAGCTAGCTACCGTAGCTATATAGCAGCTATCATCATAGTATGTAAAATTTATTTAATTGCCAATATTACTAATGTGACTCTGGGTAATGTACAATAAAACCAACAAAAACATCTTAATCAATAAAACTATTAAGATAAAATATAAATAAGATCAGAAACCAAAATCTCACATATAATATAATCATGTCACGAACTCTTTGATGGGATCCCCAAACTTGTTGCAAAAAAAAAAAAAATCTACCACACATGTGAAGACAACAATCAAGTTGGGGTTAATCTCACCTCAGGGGGAATCATGTTCCAAAGGATGAGTTCCACAGCAGAAAAGGCTAATCTCTGGGTCCTGTTAGATGGATAGCTTTAGCAGACAGGACCTGTAACCCTAACCCTAACCCTGCTGCACCTGGTGGGATGGGCATTGTGACTGAGGACAGACAGTCCCTTAAATGCTACGTGGGGCTTCCTGCAATTTCTCTGGCTGAGAAAGAGAATAAACATGGCTGTCATGGCTGGATACTGTTCATTATGCTGTTTTAAATTGGTCATATTATTAATAATACATGAGCATTTTCCTTTAGCAACGAGTTATTCAGGCAAGATGAGCTCAGTGCTGGAAACACAAAACACCTCTGTTGGGTGACCCACACAAAACATTTTGTCTCTGTTGATGTGCTGGCTTCTTTTGTCAATTTCACAACTATGTGCTATTTTTGTTGTTTTTCTACCAGTATACACTGCAGACAAGGAGAGAACTGTATCCCGGACTGCTAATAGTTGACACATGTTTCTGAATTTATGTTGAATGCACATTTTGCAACATTATTTTTCAGGGTCTAGCTTGCCTTTTTGGATTGAGTTTATTGAGTAAGAATATCCAATGTCCTGCCTTTTTTTTCTTATGATTTAATGGCAAAAAATTATGCTGGCTATAGTATCTTTCAATTTTAGCTTTCAGGAAAAGAAATAAGGGAAATAACAACATATGTCTACAACACGACTGCGATATTATATTTTTTAAAAATGAATTGCTATTCATAGTATTTCCATGGCTTTTTCTGTTTAAGGGAAATATGGGTTCAGAGGATTGCACTGAAAATAAAATGACCTCATGTTTTTCAAATAGCCTCAGAGTATAGAATATAGAGGTTTCAAACTAAGAATATCAAGTTGACTATACACCTATATTTATACACCTATATTTATCTATTTGTTAGTTTTATATCCCACTTTTTCTTCAGGAATTCAAGGCAGCATACACAGGGGTGGGATTCTACCAGTTCGGACCAGTTCTATAGAGCCGGTTGTTACGATTCTGTGCAGTTCGGAGAACTGGCAAATCGCGCCACTGGCTGGCCCCTCCCCTCCCCTCCCCTCCTGTCGGATTTCTGCTTTCTAGCTAATCTAAATCGCTGTTGTACTGCTTTGCCTTCGCCCAGGAGGCTTCCCTGAGGCCCAGTCAGGGGTGGTATCAGGAGATTGGGGGGTGGGGGAGAAGTGGCCTGAGAGCAGAGCCGAACCTTCCTTAGGACTGAAGCTTCTATTTTTAAGTGCAGACTCAGGTAGCAGATTGCAGGAAGGTAGATCTGTGAGTGAATTTGTGATTCTCCAAGCAACTCAATCTGGTTTGCCTGATTTTGGGTAAAAGTTGCTCTTATATATATATATATATATATATTGTATATATACACTGCTCAAAAAATAAAGGGAACACAAAAATAAGACATCCTAGATCTGAATGAATGAAATATTCTTACTAAATACTTTGTTCATTACATAGTTGAATGTGGTGACAACAAAGTCACACAAAAATTATCAATAGAAATCAAATTTAGCAACCCATGGAGGTCTGGATTTGGAGTTACACTCAAAATTAAAGTGGAAAAAAACACTACAGGCTGATCCAACTTTGATGTAATGTCCTTAAAACAAGTCAAAATGAGGCTCAGTAGTGTGTGTGGCCTCCACTTGACTGTATGACCTCCCTACAACGCCTGGGCATTTGCTCCTGATAAGGTGGCGGATGGTCTCCTGAGGGATCTCCTCCCACACCTGGACTAAAGCATCCCCCAACTCCTGGACAGTCTGTGGTAAAACGTGGCGTTGGTGGATGGAGCGAGACATGATGTCCCAGATGTGCTCAATTGGATTCAGATCTGGGGAACGGGCGGGCCAGTCCATAGCATCAATGCCTTCGTCTTGCAGGAACTGCTGACACACTCCAGCCACGTGAGGTCTAGCATTGTCTTGCATTAGGAGGAACCCAGGGCCAACTGCACCAGCATATGGTCTCACAAGGGGTCTAAGGATCTCATCTTGGTACCTAATGGCAGTCAGGCTACCTCTGGCAAGCACATGGAGGGCTGTGCAGCCTCCTAAAGAAATGCCACCCCACACACTGACCCACTGCCAAAACGGTCATGCTGGAGGATGTTGCAGGCAGCAGAACGTTCTCCATGGCATCTCCAGACCCTGTCATGTCTGTCACATATGCTCAGTGTGAATCTGCTTTCATCTGTGAAGAGCACTGGGTGCCAGTGGCGAATTTGCCAATCTTGGTGTTCTCTGGCAAATGCCAAACGTCCTGTATGATGTTGGGCTGTAAGCACAATCCCCACCTATGGATGTAAGGCCCTCATACTACCTTCATGGAGTCTGTTTCTGACCATTTGAGCAGCTACATGCACATTTGTGGCCCTCTGGAGGTCATTTTGCAGGGCTCTGGCAGTGCTCCTCCTGTCCCTCCTTGCACAAAGGTGGAGGTAGCGGTCCTGATGCTGGGTTGTTGCCCTCCTACGGCCTCCTCCACATCTCCTGATGTACTGGCCTGTCTCCTGGTAGCACCTCCATGCTCTGGACACTACACTGACAGACACAGCAAACCTTGCCACAGCTCACATTGATGTGCCATCCTGGATGAGCTGTACTACCTGAGCCACTTGTGTGGGTTGTAGACTCTGTCTCATGCTACCACTAGAGTAAAAGCACTGCCAGCATTCAAAAGTGACCAAACCATCAGCCAGAAAGCATAGGAACTGAGAAGTGGTCTGTGGTCACCACCTGCAGAACCACTCCTTTATTGGGAATGTCTTGCTAACTGCCTATGCTTTCTACCTGTTGTCTATTCCATTTGCACAACAGCATGTGAAATTGATTGTCAATCAGTATTGCTACCTAAGTGGACAGTTTGATTTCACAGAAGTGTGATTGACTTGGAGTTACATTGTGTTGTTTAAGTGTTCCATTTATTTTTTTGAGCAGTGTATATACAATATTTACATAAATATTTACGTACAAGCCACACCCACCCAATCACATGACCACCAAGTCACCCCCCAGTCAGCAAGCCACACCCACCCAGTCACATGACCACCAAGCCACACCCACAAATTAGACCATGCCCTCGGAACCGGTTGTTAAGAAATTTGAATCCCACCCCTGGGCATACATAACACTTCTTCCTCCATTCCCCCTCCTGCACCCCCAAACAACCCAGTGATGTACATTGGAGTCTGGAGAGAGTGCCTGGCCCAAAGTCACAGAGTGAATTTTCATGAGAAAAATTGACTGATATTCTGTCATTAATTTTGTAAGGTAATCAACAAGAAAATCAGTGCTATTGCTAGGATGGCATCTCCACAGAACTGTCCTCCTTCTGTGTTTTTGCATATGTATGATGATAATTAGAATAAATTAGCCTGGGGTCTAATAGTTAAAGTATGTCTC